GCAGCCTCAGGAAGAAGGCCTGATTTAGCTGGCAGATGTAAAAGATGAGGTTTACTATTTTGATAATTGAAGAGAGGCTGCTGCATTGCTATAAACTGGTAGACAAAACAAGCCTGATTATTTAATGGTAAATTGATAGATTGAATACTACTTTTGATATTTTTTTTCAGGGATACTATAGAATCGGAGGAAAGAAGAAGGCGCTTTAGTAATTGATTTACAGAATTCATCTGCAACTGACAAAGTGATGAAGTAATGTGAAATCTTTATATTTGAATAAAAATCTATAAAAATCAAAGCTGATTGATTTCTGCTTAATTATTTGGGCATCAGATTTTGAGGGTTGAAATGAAATTCCCATGTTCTAGCAGTTCCCAATATCCTGTTTTATTTATAGCAAGAAGATGATGTTGCTTATTGATTAAAAACATTTATTATGGAGAACCAGTTTGGTGCCTAGACCCACTTCAGACACAAAGCAAACTGAGTGACCTTGAACCATTTTCTCTCCCTCAATCCTAGAAAGGAGGCAGTGAGGAATGGATATTAGAACTGCAAAGTTCAAAACTTGTAAAGATATTTTTGAAAGTTTCAGACGGGGAAAAACCCCACAAGGTTCAAATCTAGGTTTTTAGACTTCATTGTTAATTTCAATGGTAGAGGAAATGCTTATCAGATACAGATTACATATGGGTAAGATAGCTAATACTAAGTACTCAGCTTTCTTACCTTTCAGGATAGTCTTGTAATAATGAATTTCCCAATTTAGTAGGGCACAGTAAAAATTGCTTTCTTTGGTCTGTCCAGAAACTTTTTCCCATGCTAGACATGATTTCATATACCTCAATTGTGAATGCCCTGCCTTTATTCCAACTGAGATTTTAACATTCTAGCATTTTCCTCAACAAAGATATTCTACCCTCTTGATTAGATAACAAGTATAGTGTTTTGATTAAGGGAAATTGATCAAATTTGCAGATGACACCAAACTGACAGGAGTAGCCAATACCCCAGAAGACAAACTCAGGATCCAAAAAGATCTAGACAAACTTGAACAATGGGCCCTATCCAACAAAATGGGTTTCAATGTGGAGAAAAGCACAGTTTTACATTTAGGCAGCAAAAGCAAAGGTACAAGTACAGATTGGGCGAGACCTGACTTACAAACAGTAACTGTGAGAGGGATCTTGGAATCCTAGTGGATGATCACTTGATTATGAGCCAGCAATGTGCAGCAGCAGCCAAAAAACCTAATACAATCCTGGGTTGTATAAACAGGCATAGAATCAAGATCATGCGAAGTATTAGTACTGCTTTATAAAACCCTAGTGAGACCACATCTGGAATACCACAGCCAATTTTGGTCACCATATCACAAAAAAGATGTTGAGAGTTTGGAAAAAATTCAGAGAAGAGCAACTAAGATGATCCAAGGGCTGGAGACTAAAACATATGAAGAACGGCTGTGGGACTTGGGTTTGGCTAGTCTAAAGAAAAGGAGAGACAGGATAGCAATATTCCAGTATCTGAGGGGCTGCCACAAGGAAGAGGGGGTCACGTTCACCAGAGGGAAGGACAAGAATGAATGGCTGGAAGCTGATCAAAGAGAGAAGCAACCTGGAATTAAGGAGAAACTTCCTGACAGGACAATCAACCAGTGGAACAGCTTGCCTCCAGAAATCGTGGGCACTCCATCACAGGAGATTTTTAAGAGACTAGATCAGGGGTAGTCAACCTTGGCTCTTTTATGACTCGTGAACTTCAACTCCCAGAATTCCTGAGCCAACTGTGCTGGCTCAGGAATTCTGGGAGTTGAAGTCCACGAGTCATAAAAGAGCCAAGATTGACTACCCCTGGACTAGATAATCAACTGTCTGAGATGGTATAGGTTCTGCTGCTTGAGCAGGGGGCTGGATCCCTTCCAGCTCTATTCTATTCTAAATTGTAAAAATAATTTTTTTTTCAATAGAATTATAATTTTGAAATTATAGAAAATTGTCCCTTTGTATTCTGCACTGGTCAGCTCACCTGTAGTATTCTTATATTCTGGGCACATCATACTGGGTCCGTATCGCTAATAACCTCAACATAGTCACCAACTGGGTCAAATCATATTTTTTTAAATAGTATGCAACTCCTTTGGCCACAAAGTGCCAATGTCCCACACATCATTACAGTCTGTGTTAGGGTTTGTTTTTTCTTAATCAGTACATTTGAATTTTCTCACAAAACTTTTGTTATAACAAATTCCTGTTCCTTTCAACAGTAATTGTTTCTATTTTCTTGTCTTTATCTAGTCTTCCTGTTA